ATTTACTTTCAGTTTGAATTACACTGTTAAGGTGCGGCTCTGATCAGGTTGTTGGATCTTTATTTGTTGTTCAGATGTTTTTTTTCGACTCTTTTGATCGTTTGAACAAATTGTAAGTTTGATTTGTTTACTTGAACTTTGTCTTCAGGAACTTTCCTGTTTATTTCTGCTCTCTAAAGTTTGGAGAAAAGATTCACTGCTTATTTCAGCTCAAAGTTTCATCTCTGCTGATTGAAGGTCAGAATTATATTACTGATGAACTGGAATCAAACAACATGATAAAAGGACGATGTTTCTATGATTTCTTCTCTGAAAAATCTGCTTCATGTTTTTATTTCCTGTAATCAAACTCTGGTCTCCACCATCAAGGTAAAAAAAAAAAACTTGTTGCTTCCTTTCAAAGTAAAATATCTATATAATATTTGATGCAGAATATAATCCAATCAGTGCAAATGATTAATTATTTGTTAATCATTTGTAGAGATTAATAATGAACTAAAATCCTTCCTGTTGTTCGCGTTGAATAGGTGAATGTAAATGTTGCTCCATGTCTCCATCTAGTGGACTGATAGTAGAAGTGCAGCAGCTGATGCAGCTTCCTCTGCCTCTCTGCTGTCTGACTGCATTCACCTGACACTGATATGAAGCAGAGAAGAAGAGCCAATCAGAGGAGGAGCAGCTGATCTTTTTCCAGCACTAATGATGTAAAGGATGATCAGAGTTGATGTGCAGATGAATGATGTGTGTTTCCTCTGCAGGTGAAGCTAGAAAGTGTGTGTGAGCTGATGTGAATTCAGCAGCATGGATCAGTGTGAGGACAGAGAGGAGGGAGTCCCTCCCTCTAAAACCACTCTGTGTGGGGAAGATGAGAGCCAGAGCAAAGGTCAGCGGAGAGGGCACCATCTCTAACTGTCCACAGCCCTTTTCACACAGCGTTCACTACATCAGGCCCAATCAGACGTGGTGCTGAAGCTGCTGCTGCTCCTCTTTGCTGCTTCATCCAGACTGAAGCGATTCAGTTTTAATCATCATGTTTCTGTCAGGATCCATCAGAGACTCAGACCAGAACCAGATCCAGAACCAGAACCCAGCTGTGTGTCCTTTAAGAGCGACAGGTCAAAGGATGGTTACATTAACTTTAAATCTCCTGGATCTCCACCATCAGAGAGGTGAGCTGTTTCTAACTGCTGATCTGTTTCTGTCATTGTGGCCATGTGACGATACCAAGTTCTGCATCAACTTAATGTTTCCAAATGAAACAAAATCATGCACTTTGTCCAATATTTATATTAATACAGATACACAAATCCATAAGTGAATTTCATTTCTAGGTTGATATTTGGATTGTTCTCAAAATCAATGAATCAATAAATCAGATTTCGAGCATCTGACAATAAACAGATTAATGCTGGACGATTAGACCTCCATTAAATAATTATATGATTCCAGTTTCAACTCTGCGGTTCAAACATCATGGATCATCAACCATTTCTGCATTTAATCTAAATTATACCTCAAGTGGATCTGATTCAGAACCAGATGGTCTCTATTGGACCATCTGGTTCTGAATGAAGCTCCATCAGATCCTCCTTGGATGGTCAGAGTGGAAACGACTCCTGGTTCTTCTCCATGTCAGAGCTCAACACT